AAAGTGATAGGGAGATATGGGAGGAGTTGGAGGGGAGGGAGTGAGCATGGATTTGATCAAAACACCTTACATGCATGTATGAAATTCTCAATAAATTTTTTTAAAAGTTGAAAAAAAAGAAATCCTTCCTCCAAGTTACTTTTGGTTAATGCCTTATAGCAACGGAAGGAAAACTAGAACAATGGCATTAATGATTTGTTGTGTTTTGTTAGATAAAATAATAATTTAAAAATATTTGTAATTGTGGGACTGAAGACATGGCTCAGCGGTTAAGAGCACTGGGTGTTTTTGCAGAAGACTGGGCTCAAATTCCAATACCCACATGGCAGCCAACAACTGTCCACAACTCCTGGTCTAGGGGATTTGACACTATCTTCTGTCCTCTATGGGCACTGCACAACTCGGGTGTACTTACACACATGCAGGCATAACACTCGCACACATAAAAATAAATAAATAAAAAATTGTAATTGCACAAAATTGGAGGAAGTATTCACAATAAAGGAATAATCAAATAAATCACAGAAAATACAGAAAATAAATCTAATAAAACCATAAGGAGAAATTGGAAAACTTTATTTGGATGGAAAATATCATTAAGAAGAATAAGCCATTAGAAGGTTTTCAAAGTTAAGGGAAAGGAGAATGTATTTTATCTATGAGAAAACATCAAATGTAACTAACATACAAAAAATATTTCTGGGCCATAGGAGGAGGAATTGGATACCTAAACATCTATAATTTTAATAGAAATTTCTAATCCAGTAATTTTTCTTTAATAAAATAAGAATCACTTGGAGGAATTTATTTTGTGGAATATTCCCCCTGACCTGCACACGGTGGGGCACATCTCTAATTATGAAACTTGGGAGGTGGAGGCAAGAGGATTAGGAGTTTGAGGCCACCTGGGTTGCATGAGACCTTGTCTCCAAAAAAACTAAAGCAACAAAAAATTTCCCTGTGAATTTAGCACAGTACACACAGTTTGTCTTGTAGGGTTGCTCCAGCTCCATTCCACAGCTGCTGCTATTCTTGGTGGATGTCCCATGGTGCTGGTGTCTCCAATATCCTGGAGTTGTAGGCTGTACTTTCACCAATCACCTTCCCTGGCCTCACAGGATACCATTCTCTTTATGACCCCTTCAGTCCTGGGGTTTCCACTGCAACTGAGGCTGCACCTTCTCCAATGGCTTCTCCTTGCCTCTCACAGCTCCAGGTTTCAGCTTCTCTCTGTGACCCCACCAATTCTGAAACTTTCTTCTACAAAACAAGTACTATATAGGAGAGTCTCGCACACTACCTACTTCTGCTTCAAGCTTGAGATGTAGTCTTGGCCCTCTCTGGACCACAGCTTCAGTGTGCTGACCCTGAGGAAATACTTCTCAGAAGACTTTTTTCTCAGTAATGCTGGTCTCTTAATCATAGCTGATTTTTCAGCGTCACTCACTGTCCCTGTAAAACAAAAATTTGACTTCAGTGGTGCTAGTCTCTTGTTAATCACAGCTGATTATTGAGCCCCAGATGACCCTAAACCACACAAATGTCCCTGTTAAGTCTTTGACTCTCAAACTTTCCTCTGAAACTTCATTAGCCAGACTTCCGTTGTCTGCATTTCCCTCACCATTCTTATCTTCCAAGTGCCCAAAGAACAGCTCATTAAGCCTAGGCATTCAATGGCTTTTCTAGCCCTAAGTTCCAAATGCTACCACAATCCTCCCTAAAATAGCATGACCTGGTCTTCACAACACCTCACAATCCTGGTACCAAGGTACAAATTTCTTTTAGTTTCCTTTCTACTGCTGTGATAAAACACTTGGACTCTGGTGGTTGAGTAAGTGTCCCTGATGGGCTCCAAGTATTTGAATACTTGGCCCCAGTTTGTGGTACTGTTTGTGGAAGTTTAAGAGGCGCTGTCTTGTTGTGGTAAACACATCGCTAGGGGCAGACTTTGAGAGTTCAGAGCCCCTGTCCCATTTCTAGTTTTTTTTTCCTCTCACTACTTCCTGTGCTTGCTTGAAGACTTGAGCTCTCAACTTTCTGTTCCAGCTGTCTCCTGCCATACCTCCCCCACCATGATGGCACTTATCCCTCTGGAAGCATAAGACACTTAAACTTCCTTATATAAGTTGCTTGGTCATGGTGCTTTATCCCACCAACAGAAAATCAACTAATACACTGACCAAAAACAGCTTGGGGAAGAAAAGATTTATTTCATCTTTCAACTTACAGTCCATTAGGAACTCTGGGCAGGAACCTGGGGTAGGCACAGACCATGGAAGAATGCTGCTTGTTAGCGTGCTCCTCTGACCTGTGCTCAGTCTGCTTTCTTATACAACTCAGGACCACCTGCTCAGTTTCGGTAGGACTCATAGTGTGCTGGCCACCCCCCAATCACTCAACAATCAAGAAAATGGCTAAAAGACATGCCCATAGGCCAGTCTGAACAGGAAGTTCCCCAGCTGAGGTTCCCTCTTCCCTGGTATGTTAAGTTGATAATTGAAGCCAACCAAGACATGGACATAGAATCAAATTGCCCTCTGAAGCCTTACCCCTATACCATTAGATTTGCGCAGCTCTCAGACCTCATCAGAAAAATTTCTTTGTGCAGTGGATGATGGTTAATGCACATTCACAGCAGGCCAATGTGCAGAGAATGACTGGCTGTGGAGTGCTCAGCACACTAGGTTTGTCTGTTTCTCGTTCCAAATCACATTTGGTGATATACATTTATTTTGGATGATGTTATATTTTCTATGCCCCCAAAACCAATTCTTGAAACTCCTCAGTACTACTAGAGGTACCAAGTTTTGGTGTAAAAAGTTCACTTATTTCACCAAAATGGTGTATCAATACATCTATGTTCATACAAAGAACCATGTCTCATGACTTTTTTTTTTTTTCGGTCTTTTTGAGACAGGGTCTCCCTGTAGCCCCAGCTAGCCTGTAATTGACTAACTCACTATGTAGACCAGCCTGGCCTTGAACTCACAGATATCTCCTGCCTCTGCCTCCAGAGTGCTGGGACTAAAGGTATATGCTACCATGCCTGGCTTGTCTCGTGACTTCTACAAGAAATGTGGAGAAAGGAAAAAATGATTACTGAGAGCAGTCAGAAAGTCATATTTGCATCTCAGAAAATCTTTGGTGTATTTACCAAGCTGTTAAACACTGAGAAAGAACTAAGAGGTGAAGAGTGAGAGAGTGGCTAAGAAAATGAAAAGTGGGACAGGAACAAATGCCATGGTAGAGTGTTTGTTTAAGTAAAGACTTGGGCCCAATTTTTAGTGCAGAGTGCTGAGACTTTAGCTAAGTGGTTGAGTGCTTGCCTAGCTTGTGTGAAGTCTTGGGTTTAATTCCTAGTACTTTGTAAAAAATAAACAGACAGACACTGACAAAGCAAAATAATGAACAACCAAACCAAAGAGCAAGTGAAACAAACTGAACTGAAGCAAACAAACCAAACCTAACCTTATAGCAAAGGGAACAGAATCTACGTCTCTTCCAGTGTTGTAGGCATTGCCAGGTTAAAAGGATGTAGAAGATTCAGGATTTTAAGGAAATGTGATACTACTACTATATATGGAAGAGATAAAGAGGGTCACTTCATTCTAATCAAAGGAGCAACTGACCAAGAAGATGTTACAATCATGAAATTATATGCACTAAACTCTGGTTCACCCAATTTCACAAAAACAGTACCACAGGACTATAAAACATAGATTAACCTCAACTCAGCAGTAGTAGGTAACTTCAATACCTCACGTTCTCCAGTAGACTGGTCAACTGGACAAGGAATAAACAGAGAGACATTTGAATTAAATGACATCTTACATCAAATGGACCTAATATCTACAGAATATTCCACCCAAGCATCACAGAATATACTTTCTACTCAGCAGCCCATACAAGTTTTTCTAAAATTGACCACACACTGGGACACAAAACAAGCCTCAACAAATATAAAAAATTGAAATAATTCCATGCCGTCTATCAGACCACAATGCAATAAAGCTTACAATTAACAGCAAAAGAAGCTCTAGTAACTATTTGAACTCATAGAGATTAAACAGCACACTCCTGATGATGAGTAGCTCAAAGAAGAAACTAAAGTAATCATATATTTATTTTATTATATAAAATATATTTCTTCATTATTTCTTTATATTTAATGATTTATTAATAATTTTGTAACGTATTTCTAGTCTCATTTCTGTACTTCACTTTTTATTTAGTTATAGACCAGCTTTACAAGGATAGAACTATTTGATATTTTATTGATATATTGGTATTTTATCTTTTTTGCTGCAAAATAGTCAGAACATTCATAATGACTTATAATTCACACATTTCTTTGCCCAAAACAGTGACTATTTAGTAAAAATGGAGTAAACTAATTTTCACATGCATGGACGATATGGAAGTTTACATCTAGTGTCAAAAATTAAGTACTGAATAATATTATTAAAGTTTTCTCTTTTGCACTATAATTTACCACAAAGTACACTTTTTAAATATAACTACTAAAACCCTTAGGAGTAGTCAAATCTGTGTTGAGTGAACAAATTCAAATTTGTATTTGGGTGAACAAATTCAAATGATAAAAGCCTAAACTCTCACTCTCAAATTTATCTAGCCAATATCTTCATTTTACTAATTTTTTCAGGCATATAGATATTTAGAAGTTCATAGGACATAAACATAGGCAGCTATGAGGATTAGAAGACTTATGTGTCTGGTGATCAGTGCTAAAGAGGTGTCCAACATTTGATATCAGTGGAAAGTATGTTCAGTGTGGGGAGGTTCAGCAATCTCCATTGCTTCCATAATGGGCACAGCATTCAATAAAAACCACATTTTCTTGGCTGAATTTGCTCCTCAGTATTTTTAGAAGCTAGCAATTCTCTCTGTTCCAAGTAGAATACTTGAGGATGCATTTCATAGTAAGCATTTAAAATACTAAATTGAAAAGACTTTTAAAAACTGTTTAATAGGAAATTAATTCCCAAGAATGCTCTATATTAATCTGAATCTTTTGAACTGTGCAGGAAAGAATTCTTCTTGAAACTCAAAGCCTTAACAAAGAGTCTTCTCATTGCCACCTTCATTTCCTTATTTCTGAGTGTATAGATGACAGGATTCATAAAAGGAGTGATAATGGCATCAAAGATTGCTAAAAATTTATCTATGGGTAAAGTAGGGAATGGCCACACGTAGACAATAATGCAAGGACCAAAGAAGAAAACCACCACAGTGATGTGAGCTGAGAGAGTGGACAGGGCCCTGGATGAAGCCCTGGAGGAGTGCTTACGAACCGTGACCAGGATGAAGATGTACGACACCATCAAGATGAAGAAGGTGCCCATGGAGATGAAACCACTGTTGGCAGTGACCAGGAACTCCAGCCTGTATGTGTCTGTACATGCAAGTCTGATGAACCGAGGAAAATCACAATAAAAGCTGTCCATTTTGTTGGCTCCACAGAAGGGTAAATTTACAACAAAAGCCAGTTGGGCCGCAGAGTGGATGAGGCCAATGGTCCAAGCAAGAGTCAAAAATGAAACACACGTTCTCGAGCTCATGATGGTCAGGTAGTGGAGGGGCTTACAGATAGCAATGTACCTGTCATAGGCCATGACTATGAGCAGCACCATCTCTGCACCTCCAACAGTGTGAATGAAGAACATCTGAGTGATGCACCCACTCAAGGAGGTGACTTTATGCTTTCTGAAGAGGTCGTAAATCATCTTTGGGGTAGCAATGCTGGACACCCCTGTATCAATGAAGGAGAGATTTGCCAGCAGGAAGTACATGGGGGAATGTAAATGATGGTCTGAGATGATCGTGAGCACAATGAGAAGGTTCCCCAGCATACTGGCCACATAAAATACTGTGAAAAACAGGAAAAGGAGAATCTGAATTTCCCAGGAACTGGTGAGTCCCAGAAACAAAAACTCAGATACCACTGAGTGATTTCCTCCGTCCATCAACTTCTTGTGCAAGTTTGACTGTGAGATGGCCATTACCTCAAAAGCAGAAGAGGGAGAAAAATTTAATCTTAAGCAAAAGGATATCCTGGCTATAAAGTAGTGACTCAACTATCAAAACCAAGGCAGCTTGTAATTTTACAGTGACATTTTACACAGTACTTAAAGGAATAGGCATAGAATATTTAGGATCACTTGGCTTATACAACCATAACTTTATTTTGACTGTTAAAGTATAATCAAGAAAGAGAAAAATAGAAGTACAGGCACCTTAGGATCTAAGGAGAGGCAAATCAGACACCAATGTGTATGAAATTCTGCTTGGGAAAAGTGCTATGAAATAGAAGCATGCTAAAATAAATTTATGCCTATTGTACATAACTACTTATTACATTCTGGAAATTATTTATTTTAAAACTGACACATCTTGGTTTCCTAACTTTTTGATAATGTTATCAATGAAAAAGACATCTTTTATATTTTAAATATGCTTAAGATGGCACTTTTTATTAATTAAATTTGTTGTTAGACAATTTAACACATGTACACCAATGCATATTGACACACTCTCCCCTCTCCTTACTACCCCTACACATCTCTCTTCCCCACATCCATCTCTGTCACATTCATAGTTCTTCCTTTTGTTTTGTTTAACCAGGTCCTTCTGTGACTGGATTCAGAGATATCTGTTAGAGGCTGCTGGGCTCAGCAGAGGGTACACAACTGAAGAAAATGGTTTTTCCTTTCCCAGAATCTATTAATAGCCAACAATTCAGCAGTAGAGGGTAGTGTCCCATGAGTCTCTCCCCCCTGCATGACTGATTGTTGGCAGGGTCTGTCTTGTGTGGGTCCAGTGCAGGTAACCACAGGTATAGTGAGTGAGTGATAGTAATGGTTGTATTGAGTTCAGTGGATAGCATTTAGTAGCCCTTCACCTTATCATATACTTTCCTCCTTCCTTTTCTGAAGTGTTTGTTCCCTGAGCCTTAGAAGGCCCACACCATGGCCTATTCACTGTATCTTGGACAATCAGGAATCTCTACATTCACTTCCATTTGTTGTAAGGAGAGGCTTTCCTGATTTAGGCTAGGGGCAACTTTTGTGTGTAGATATGGGCATAGATATTTAGAAAGTACTTTGAAGTTTTATCAATTTAGTTAAACATTGATAATACGTTCCTCACCTAGGTTTATGGCCTTCCCAGGTCTGAGCTTTTGTTGGCCTTATAGTGCCAGGCATAGCCCCTCCTCACTCCTATGAAGCAGGCCTTAAATCCAATCAGAGGGCAGTTGGTTATCCTCTCAACAACCAAGTCACTATTGTACAGATGAGCATAATTTGCCTGGCAGGTCAGCTTTCTAGTTCATAGCGTTCACAGTTTGGCAAGACTAAAGATGTCTTTTCTCTCCTAGCAACACCTTGCAGCACCCTCTGGGGCACTGAATACTAGCTGGCAGTGAGGAAGCTTCCAGTTTGGTTCTAGCTTGTGTTGTCTATGTCTTATATCTGAGGGGTGTGGTGTCTTCCACAATATGGTCTTATTATTTAGTTCTGGTAGACAACCAAGAAGATTGACAAGAGCCTATATTGTCTTGGGGTCTCTGGGGTCTCTTTGTCCAATTCTTGTGGCGGTCCCTCACATCTGGGACTGTGAACCATGTTAGATAACCCCTTGCTTCTAGGAGCAGCAGAATCCAGCCATGTAGGCATTGAAGTTAACTCCCTTCAATCCACATTTTTTGATTTTAATTTGAGTTATATATAGGACAACACACTTCCACATAGCTTCTTTATACTCCTTTTGTCCTGCTTAATCCTCTTTCCTCCCTCTACCCTTCACTCCATCATCCCCTTCACCTCCCTCAATGCTTAAAACTTTCTCTCCAACAGTATTTCTGTTTAATTTCATTTTTACCTATGTTCTACTCTTCCTGTACCTCCTGAACACATCATTCCCACTTTGTTTGATGATTTCCATCTCATCGTCTTTATCCTATGTGTCAAGATATTCAACTGACCTCATCTTGCAGCCTCAGATTTGAAGTTCAGGTACAATAATCCTCTGTTTAAAACCAGCTCCTTAGTTGTTCAGCTCCTATAAAACTTGTCTGACTTGAGAGTGTTCCTATTCTCACAAATTGTAATGCAGACATTTTCTTTAGGTTCTGTTTTATAACAGATACCACCGTTTATTTATTAAATAACTTTTTATTAATTACTTTCCTCAAGATATATGCCAAAATATATAAAATTAATTGCTTTGCTTCTAAAAATTACAGACTAAAACTCTCCCCTTTTATTATTCCAAAATATCCCCTTTTATTTTTCCAAAATATCCAAAATAAAATGAGGAAGGATGCTCATTTTAGAGGGTTTAAAATGAGTGCTGAATAATTTTAAATGAATGGTTTAATTTTGCAAAGCTAAATATTAAATTCAAGTCCAGTTCCTGAAATTGTGATTAATGTCACCGTTTAAACAGTTGCAATCTTTCTATAAAGGGATTATGGGTGCTTTTTCTCATCTTCCTACTTTTATGAGTTTTGTATTATGTATATCCTTTTCTCTTTAAAGAATAGTCAAGAGCAAGTTGATTCCAGATTCTATGGGTTCTGAGTTATATTACTTTGATAATTAATCACTTGTAACATAAAGTCTACAATAATTTTCAAGAGCCTGAGGAAGCACATTTTATTATCAGCATGTTCTACAAAGTTCATAGAAGGCAAGCGTGTCTTTGGTGTCTATTATAATTGCAGCTCCCTTACCATCTCTTATCAGTGCTGTCTACTCCTACCTCACTGTCTGCTACCTTCTTGCCTTTCTTTGGCTGTCCTGCAACCTCCATTATGTCACTCTCTCACACATTTGGTCTCTTCTAGGTAGGTTCTAGCCTCCAGAATTATTCTTTCCAGATCAATTTCAAATAAAATATTTACATATTGAGCCAGTTCTAAATGACATGTTAGGAGGAAACCAATCTAGTTGCTTAGGTTTATAGACATTTAACTCTCATAATATTTTTATTTAAGATGCACATGCTCCTGTGATATGCGTTTGGCTGCTACAATTGTAATTCTCACACTTTACTCCTTGCAAACCAGAGAAAGTTATGATAACACCTTATCACTTTATTTTGGAAGCATTGCCCATACTCACTCTTGATGGCAAAGATTTTCATGAGAATTGAAGTTTAGTATATTCTCCTGTCTGCTTCATCAGAATTGCACTAAAACAAAGAAGAAAAATAGATGAATCTTCTTTGATCCCTAGAAATGATTCATACTGAAGGATGGAACTGTCAATCTTCTTTGCAAAGAAAGGTAACGAAGCTCTTACTTGAGTTAGACAGCAGAATTTTTTTCTCCTCAGGTGGTAATCAGTTTCCTAAAACAGAGAAAACAAGAAGCTTCAACTATATGTGAGATGTAATTTCCAGAGGGAAAGAGCAATTACTTGAATGTGCCCGAAAACTAATTAACAAAACCCTTCTATGTTTATAAAACAGAAGCCGAAAGTATAAGAAATTGAAGACTGAAAGGGAACACAGAATGATGAAGTGGGAACAAATATGGGCTAGAAAACACGAAAACACCATGTAGTTTCCTCCTGGAATGCTATCTTATGACGAGAATTCCACTTTTAATTAGTAGCCAGCTTGGAGTCTTCTATAAGAATTTCCCAATAACACGAACAAAAGTCGTACCTGCTCATCTGATCCTCTTCTCCAAGAACACACACGAAGCAAACGTGTTGAGAACTTAAACTACAGATTAAATTAAAGGGCAACTAATTTATGACTGATATTTGTAGACATATCCTCTATCCACAGTTAGGTTGGACTGATGCCTTTTCTTCCTGAACCACCTGTTCATGTGTGTTTTACATGGCAATACTTGAAATGGAAGAATTTCTCTAGATTCACAGGAGGGTATTTCACATTCTCCCTGAGTTCATAACCTTTTTCAAAACAAAGAGCCTTATGTTGTTTCTCTCAAAGCTTCTAATTAGTAACTTTGTGTGGTCCACTGAGTCCATACTGGTTTTTATCCAGGGATTAAAGAGGACAGAACAGAAGAACAAAAGCCTAAGTATTTTTGCTTCAGAATGAGTCAATAAAAATAAGTGATGAAACTATCACTTCAGGTATAGAGAAGCAGAGATGGAAGGGAACTTGTTTGCTACCTGTTTGAGAATTAACAATGAAGTCTTAGAAAATGAGAAATCATGGTACTCCAAGCCCTCTTTTACTTTGACAATTTCTATTTTCTTAATGCGTTTCAGTACCATAAGGTCCCAAGGCCCAGACCTTAGACTCTAGAAGATAACCATGTGCTAATTACTAGAGTAGAAGAGGAATTGCTATGTCATAAAGTTTTCAAGTAAACAACCATCTGTGCCTACATTTAATAAGACTTTCTTCACAGTCTTAGGCTTTTCCTTTACACTGTTCTGTTTCTGTAATTGCCTTCATTCATTTGGTATTATTGCCTCATGCTAATTGCAATGGAAAAAACTGATGATTACTGCCACATACTCCTCGAATCTAATCTGCAAAGAAAAGCAAGCAGGAGTGTGTGATGCAGAACATGTAGCTAATACTTACAATGTATTTTCTTTTTTAGAGTGGTTACTTCACAAAGACAGAAGATGGCAACATTTTGGTGAGATATGAAACAGAAGAAACTCATAGTGTTGGTAAAATGAAGATGAGTATATTAACTATGCAGAACATTAATGAAGTGCCTCAAGAATCCCAAAACAGATCGCCATATACATACATACATACATACATACATACATACATACATACATACATACACACCTGCTCACACACACACACACACACACACACACACACACAGACCCCTGAGATGCTTACATGCCTATGTTGATCAATGCATTATTCATGATAGCTAAGTTATGGAATCATTCCAGATGTACATCAATGGATGCATTGAGAAAGAAAATGTAGACAAAATGGAAATAATTTAACCCTGAAGAAAAGTGAAATCTTGTCATTTGTAGCCAAAATTGAGGCAGTGGAAG